GAACAAGTCGTCTTGGAGTACGAGAAGACCATCCAGTCCCTCGAGCAGTCGCTTTCCAGTACGCGAGCAACTCTGTCGAATACGGAAACCAACTTGTTTGAGAAAGAGACGAGATGTGCCTACGTGGAAACTCTCAATGCCCATCTGAATGCAAAGCTGCACAAGCTTATGGATCGTGAAGCTAACACAGAAAGCTATCTATCCGATCTTGAGGCGAAGCTCGATGGCCATACGTCCGGCGAGGAGAAGAACTCAATCATTGTCTCCGAATTGAGAAAGGAGATTGCACGCCTTAGAGAGCTCGAGTCATCTAATGAAGACTACATCGAGAACCTAGAGCAGCGACTTGCGGAGGCTGACCAGGATGCTGAGTTGATGCAACAAGAGATGGACCGCCTGGAGCACCTCATCAAGCGCCAACGAAGCCTTGGCCAACTCGACACTCTTCTCAACGAACTCGACGGCGTCGACCCGGTTAAGCAGTCCGAGGGAGAGCATGGCCCGGTTAATGGCATCGGTTCTCATCGTCGGAACTTCTCAGAGCGCTCGGCTAGGAGCCACTCCAGTCGTCCTAGTCTGGGCTTGCGTGAGGTACTGCCAGAGGTCAAAGAAGGTGCTGAAGAGGACAACGTCTCTGAGATCCATGGTGAAGAGTCCTTTGCCGGTGACGACGCTTCGGAAATACGAGCGACTGTTCTAGAGAAGCCAGCGGAGATGGAGCCTCCTCCCAGCCCAGCACAGTCGCAATACGTAGCCGATAAGCTCGAGAATGTTACCCAAGAACTAGTCGACCTAAAAGTCGAGCACGAGAATACGCTCACCGAGTTCGACCTCCTCCACCACAAATACGAAGAGGCGCTTCAGAGTCTTGCAGAGTTACAGGATCGAGTCGATGAGGCTCGTCACCCACGGCCGGAGCGCCAGTCCATTATCTCAGTCACATCGCCAACCGATGCAAGACCCCCGTCTTTTTTATCCGACGGCCAGCTGAGCGACGTCAAGGATGGGACGCATTTATCATCGCAGTCTCTATCCTCGGAGTTGTCCTCAGCTATGGAATCACCGGCTACTATAGGTACTCCTAGGACCGAAACGCCGAAACCGTCAGAGCCGAGAGATACCCCCATGGAAGAAAACACTAGGAACGAAGCCTTAATTGCTGAGCTAGAGAGGCTGAAGGGTTTGGCTAGCGGCAAGGAAGCTGCCGAGAAGGAGCTCGCCGAAAGGTATGCTGAGCTTGAAGAGAAGCATCAGGAGACCCTAGACATAGTCGAAGAGCTCAAGACAGAGGTCATGAAGGCCAAGTGGCATGAACCAGCGTCGCCGCGAACCACAGGACCAGTCATTCGTCGGAAGTCTAGCCAAAACGTCATGATCATCGACCGGGCCCATCGATCGTTTGCGTCTCTAAGGAACATAGCAGCCGAGAACTTCGAGAACGAGCCGGATGTGATGCAAAACTTCGAGATCAACCTGAATGCTGCCATGCATGAGCTACATGCTAGGTCGGAACGCATCCAAGAGCTCGAAGCTGACATTGCCGCTGCTAAGAAGGAGATGGAAACGAAGATGACCATCATTACTGGTCTAACTCGTGAGCGGAGCAGTATGAAGTCGAGCCCTATGGACATCTCGATGGTAGGAACGATGCGCGACCAGCTGGAGCAGAAGGAAAAGCAGCTCCAGGAAATGCAGGAGGCCCACGTCACTCGCGAAAACGAACTCAAGGCCGAGATTGAATCCTTGCGTGCAGCATTCCGCGAAAAGGCCGAAAACCAGTCGGTATCGCAAGAAGCCACACGAGACAGCAATGCTACGTACGAGAAGCAAATCAGCGATCTCCAAAGTGAACTCAGCGGCTGGGAGAGCAAGCACCAACAGGCTTTGGAGGCTATGCGGTCAACTGAACAGCAGATGAGGCAGACCATCTCTCAGTTAGAGTCTGAGCTTGTCTCCATCAATGCTAAGTTCAGTGAAACACAGGCCAACGCGAAGGACGAGACGGAAGCGCGAGAAGCGGAGGATAAGCGCCAGAGCTTGGTTACGTCTCTCCAGAACGAGATCGACGAGTACAAGGCGATTATCGACAGCAATGCCCTGAAGGTTGCTGAGTTAGAACAGTCACATGCCGCAGCGAAGCAACAGCTTGAGGAAGCCTCTGAAGCCCGTGACCTAGCGCTTAACGACTCAGCCAATCAGAAGGAGATCATTGGCAGACTTGAGAGTCAAATCGCCGAATATGAGAAAGCCCTTCTGGCTCACGAGCAAAGCTTAGATCAGCTTCGTGACAGCCACGCACAGGAGCTTGAAGAGCTTCGGTCTAGGTCCAAGGAAGAGTATGAGTCACATATTGACACCTTGATGGCTGAACAGGCTGAGAACATCAGGCTGCTTGAGACCGATCTCAATGACGCACGCGACGACCTTATAAAGGTCGCTAACCAAGTTGCGTTCGCCCTTGGCTGCGAAGTGAGCGTAGATAAGCTTTCCGAACACATCGAATACCTTGTGGCAAACCAGAGAGCTCTGGATGAAGAGCAGAAGAGAAGCGGAGAGCTCGAAGGCCATGTCGATGAGCTTTCGGTGATCAACAACACGCTCATGCGCGATCTAGAGACGGTCAAGTCCTCACTAAATGAAGTACTCCTTGGCGATATCGAACCTACAAAGAAGAGTCCTTATCCCACCGTCCGGGAGCAGCTGGCTGCCATCAAGAAAAAGACGAAGGATCTTGAGAACAAGAACAAGAAGAACTCTCGCTTGGTCGAGGAGCTGGAAGACCAGCTCCAGACCAACTTCGATCAGGCACAAGCCACGACCAACCGATTGTCTTTGCTACAATCAGAGCGTAACCATAAACTAGAGGATGCCATGGCGACCAGGTATAAGCTGCAAGCTGAGCTCGACGCCACTCGAGAGCAAATGGCTGCCCTTCAGGTAAGACAACGGCCCTTCGAGTCACGTATGACCTTCACTGATGTCAAGCAGGCTCGCGTCGAAGAAGCCGAAGGGCTGAAGCGTAACGGTTCGCTGTCCCAAGTTCGGAAGACGGGATCCGTCACTTCCCTGCCGTCACCGCCTCCAGCTATTCCTTTGCCGCCTCTACCAGCTGGAAGCTCACCCACTACGGGCGTACCTCCTACACCAACTGGTACCCGACCTGGAAGTAACGATCTAGCCTTTTCACATATCCAAGACCAGGAGGCTCGCATCGGCACCATCGACAAGGCTTTGAAGGCCGAGAGACAACTCACGTCTACGCTAGAAGAGGCTTTGACGGACCTCGAACGCCAATCCAACAAGGTCAAGGCTGACTGTGATGCCTGGCGCAAGCGCGCTCTAGAACTCGAGACGGAAGTCAAGGAGCTGAAGGAGAAGCCGCAGCAAGATAACAGATGGCGCGACAGCCTACAGCAAATTGAAGAAGAGCGTAAGAAGCGCGAAGCCGCCGAGAGGGCACACACCCACTTGGAAGAGCGCATGAAAGCCATCAACAGCAAGAAGAAGAAGAAGGGCAGCCTCAATTGCTTTTAGTCGCGGGGTTGGCGCAAGGCCCCCAAGGTGGCCCTTCTCTTCCTTCTTATCTATGGGCTAATTCGTCTTCTCCGCCCGCCTACTTCCCACCATATGGTGTGCCTCGGTTTTTGCGTCACTTTCATGATCAAGTCGGCATTGCGCAGCCGGCGAGGAGTTTGACTGGCGTTACCATACTTGTGCCGGTCTCAACCTTCGTTCTATACTTCCAACGTCATGAGATCGTTTTCGTTTCTTCTCGGATATGGTTGGCATTGATGCCTTGTAACCCTGTCTATTCACCAACCAAGCCTCCAGGCTGTGTGCCGCGGGGAGCTCTGCGAACGACCTGGACGGGCTACGAATTGAACATGCTGACGGAATTCGAATCTTAACACGACGTCCCGAGCATGTCCTACACTACCCCATACCCCCATAACTTTGTTTCTTATGTTTTTTTCTACTTTTTGACATTGTCGGTATCTAATTCTCGATGCAAGGACGATGGAGACGACTTCTACGCCTCAGGTTGTTCAAGAAGAGAAGAGCCGGATTTTACTACCCCAGATACCACTTGTGTTTGTCATACATGTCTGCCGCCATGTTCTTGACACTATTCTGCGCTTTTGATGACGAGAAACGCTTCGCGAATTTGGACATGACTTCCAACTCGATTTTTACCTACCCCTTCGTTCAGCTACATGTTGTGGAAGGGGAAAGGGGGAAATGTTAATACCCAACGGAGGGGGAGGATTAAGGGGGAGGGAGAAGGAAGGAGGGAGGCAGCCGCAGAAAAAGTCGATGGTTTGTTGAGTTAGTTCGATGTAATGCGGTCGGCCCGGTACCAAAGCAGAGGCAGAGAGCAACTACGAGTTATTTGTTTGACACATGCATGCGTTGTTAGATGATGGATCTGAGAGGGGGGTTCTTTAACTACACGGATGATGTAGAGAGGGCTGTCTGTGAGGTCACGTCATCGCCATTGTGTCTGTTTGATTGATAGGGTGCGGCGGCGAAACGGAGTGTAGAGATATATACCTTATTCCCTTGGCTTTTCCGTTATACAAGATGTTGCTAAGCAATTGAGCAGTGAATGTCGTTTCTGACCTATGACCTTGAGATGCATATGGCTGGCTGCGTGTGTAGACTGCCGTGCTGAGTTCGTGTTGACCATGGGGTGATCTCGTCCTTGCCAGGATCTTGACTGACGACTTGATAACTTATAGTATTTCTCCTGCAATCCTGGTTAAGAAGCTTTCACTGGCCATGGAAGCGATGCGAAAGATGCATCACACAATGGTCTAGAGAGCATCGGGTGGCCAACGGCAATCCGTCGTAACTCGTAGTCACCCATAGAGACTTTAAGTGAGGGAGAGGGCGGGAAGAAAGATACGATAAAAATTGAAAAATGAAAGACCCAGAGTGGATCAGACTTCCTTCCTATGTGCAACAGGGCAAAAAGAGAAATCACTGAGGATTCCAAGTTGTACTAGCACCGCGGATCGAACGCGGAACCTTCTCGGGTGTTATTAACATGAATGTTAACGAGAAATCATAACCATTAGACCATGCCAGCATGTGTTGTTGTATATTGTTTTGGCTACTTAACGCAGCCTAAGTAGTAGGAGCTCTAGAATCCACCGGCCGGGCTGGACTGATCACTTCGCGTCCTTGTTGGTTCGGTGTGGTCTGCTCTGGTCTGCTCTGGTCTAGGCTCGGAGCATGTGGAGAATGAAAATAGTGTGTTGAAATTTTTCATTTCTCTGAATGTCCGTCTTCAGTTCCTGACGAAGTGGGGGTGTCTATAACTGCATCGTAGTACCTTTGTACTGTGTACGCATCCAATAGTATTCTGGACGCTAGGTAGTTATCTATAGGGGGTACTATCGACTAGTTATCTATAGGTTACCTAGGACAAGGGGTACGTCCGGAGCTCATGTGGATCTGTACTATCTTACCTACTTATGTACTGCGCATCAGTTGTAGAGAGATTCCCAAGGGGGTTTTATGAAGAGCGAGTAACCCGAGTGAGCTGGAGGAGATGCAGGTGAAGTGTCGTTTCAACAAGTTTTATTACGGCATTGGTTGGCAAGACTCTCCCAGCCCTACCGTAATCTTCGGGGTTGCTCAGGTTCGTCCTGCATCTGGTCTGTCTCGGTCTCGGAAACTTCCCGTAGGTAGCGTGGTTGTTTGACATTGCGGGGTTGATCTTCGTTAGGCCAGCAGGCACAGTCAAGTCTTACTGTAGATTGATTATATATAGGGAGGGAATCAGATAAGAACTTCGACGATAGACATCGACAGTGTAAGGGCACCGACCTTGACATCGGGCAACCAGTAATTACTACAATGACAGACGGATAGGGAACTATCTTCATCTACTATTGTAGTCAGCGAAGTATATCCTTTAACCTTTATTGCATAGGCACTCATGTAGCGTAGACCCTTCGAGAGAAACGGGTAGATCAGGGGCAGGCAAGGTAATGATGTCCTCGATTAACCGTTTCATACTGTAAATTCATCGAATGCAGATAGCCGGTATATTCAAGTAACAGGTCCCATCCCACCCCGTCAAGGAGGCGCGTTCATGACGGCACGACAACGCCAAGTACAATAACCAATTACAAGATACAGGAACAGCTAAACATCAGCCAACGACAAACCCGGTTTCCCCAGCAGAAGCAAGCAACAGGAGCAGCAAGAACAGGGGACGGAACCATGTCCGGGAGCAGCCCATGTCCCCTCCGACGCACCAACCCATATCTGCCGCCTCCTCTGCTTCTGCTTCTGCCTCTGCCCCTGTCCCTGTCTCTGCCCCTGGTCCCGGCGCTGCAGCTGACATAACCAGCATCCCCGCGTCGCCAATCCCACCGTCACTTTCATCTTCATCATCATCATCCCCGATCCCGGTGCCGGAGCCAGAGCCGGACCTTAAACCTCTGATCGCCGAGATCCTGCGGACGCGATACTGCGCGCCGGGCTCCGTCGTGCTGGTAGAGGGCGTCGACGTTGCGCACACCTCTCCGCACGCGTCTAGATCTAGAACTGGGTCGGGTAGAGGTGGTCAATCGCAATCGCAGCAGACCCAAACTCAGACCCAGACCCAGAGACGACAATGGCGCGCCGTGCGCCTGCTTCTGAGCGATGGCGAGCTCTGCATCCAGGCCCTGCTGGCGCCTGAGATGCACCCCTACGTGGATGCGGGCGAGGTCGCGTTCGGGTCGTATATACGGCTCGAGAGGTTTCGGGTCGAGTGGTTGGATGGTGGCGGTGGCGGAGGTGGTAGCGCGGCAGCGGATGCGAGTTTCGATGTGGGTGTGGATGTGAAGGGAAAAGGCAAGGCGAGGGAGCGAGACGAAACGCATGGTGGCGACCCTCGGGAAGGCGAGCGGATGGTGTATCTCGTGGTGGAGGATCTGGTTGTGGTGGGCTGGAGCCAAGATCTCGTTGAGATGGCGAGTGCTGCCAGCGGAGACTTGTCTGCTGCCGAGTTTGACGATGATGTGGATATGGATGAAGATGGGAAAGAGCCGTCTCTGCCGTCCCCTGGATCTTCGCCTTCGCCACTGCCATCACCATCACCATCACCATCACCATCGCCCTCCCTGACCCCGTCCCCGTCCCCGTCGCGCGCCAGGGAGGAGCGAAGAGCGGCCACTTCCGGCATGGCCAGCACAACTCGGCAGAGTAGATCTGAGGAACTACCGGCACCACAACCACAAACAGAGCGCCCCTTCAGGGAATCGGTAGATGCACCGGCGGCGGCGGTGGCAGCAGCAGCAGACATAATCACAGAATCGGATTTCGAAGTGATGCCGGCCGCCCGCCCGGAGAAAGCCGAGCAGAGCCGGGAAGCAGCATCAATCAACACCAACACGAATGCTAACAACAACGCCAACCCCAACCCCAACAGCGACCAGCCAACTGCCGTAGCACCATCCCGCCCAGCCATCACCACCACCACCACCACAACCGCCCCCAGCATTCCCCGTCCACGGCAGCAGCAGGCCCCCACCACCGCCGCCGACCCAACCCAACCCCTCAAACTAACGCCCCTCCGCGCAATCCCGCACCTACCCTACAAGCAGAACTGGCGTGTGAACGTTCTCGCGATCGTAGCGTCGCTGTCGGGGGTAGAGCCGTCGGGGCTGCCGCCTTACACGAGCGCGCAGCGGCGGGCGCGGCTGGCCGACCCGTCGACGCCCAAGCGCGTGCTGCTGACCGTGTTCCTGGACGCGGCGGGGTTCGCGCCCGAAGTGGGCAGCGCCGTGCTGCTGCTCGGCGTCAAGAATCATCGCTTCGATGGCGGGTGCTTGAAGAAGTACGAGAGCGATCGGGTGCTCTTGGGGGATGGGGGTGAGGGGCCGGCGAGGAGGAGGTGGTGGTTTGAGAATCCGGAGGAGCTGGGGTGGTGCGATGTCAGGGGCTTGAGGGCGTGGTGGGAGGGCGAACAGCAGCAGGAGCAGCAGCAGCAGCAGCAGCAGGAACAGGGAGCTACCATGCAGATGTAGCGATGCTTGCTTGGGTAACCACTTAGATATTTGTGTTCAGTCTTTCGCCCGAAGCTTCCTGATTGATATATAACGTCGCATCGTATGGCATGGATGAGGGACACGCAAAACAATCACAATAGGAGCAAAACGCATCGCTAGAATATCTGGTCTCAAACACCCCTACCGGTATAGAAACCTACGTAAGGCCCATAGGGTTCAGGGACGGGGTATAACAAAACCCCTTTCCCTCCGACACAAGTACAGCTTCACTTCTACAGACAGAAGACGCTCCCTCCAACAGGACCAACCTTGAAAACCAACCCCCTTCCAACATAGGCTCTATCCGCCAGCTCCACCGAGTCACGCAACATGAACAAGGAGACGCACGAAGCGCCCGCTTCATCAGCGAGCACGTTTTGTTGGACGAGTATCTAGCTATTAATCTCTTTCTCATATTTCTTCCCCCCTATTTATTCTTTTGCTTTCTGTATTCAAGAGATCTATCGATCTACCTATGTTATATGCAGCTCTGCCCGTCGTCGTCACGTAGTTTCACAAGAAACGACCAACAAGACCTGCCTGTGAATAAGTCACCAATAAAGACCGCTCGCTCGCTCGCTTTGCTCATTGTTGCGCTGCGGGCAGCTGGCACGTGAGTCATGCGTAGTCCGACTAGGCATTACATCCATAGGTACTCTCATCTTATCCTGTTCCCGGCACCGCAGAGCCCGTGTGCTACCTTGATACCTTGCTACCTGGATACTTTGGCACCTTGATGCCTTGCCGCCTACTTACCAACTGTCTGTTCCAGCTAGCTGCTCGTCGGCTGGCCAGCCACCTGATTGGAGAAAGCAGCACTCCAGCGTGGAAAGTTTGGTAATCGGTTGGTGAAAGACATTAGGTTAATCACCAGCTTCGGCCAGAAATTCGTGCTGCGCCAGAAAGCATCCACTTGGCGAGCTTCTTTACATAGGGACATGAAGTCTGATGAATGAGATGAATGCTAGCTGGGTATAGCTGTACCGACCTGGGCTTACACATTTAAGGGCGGGAATATGGTGATTTGGTGGTTGTGTAGTCTCTTGGGCCGAAAGTTTGAATGAGGGATATCACAATGCCTCCAGTCTCATTTCAGACATGGCCACCCCTCTTACGAGTACGCCAAAGGACCGTACCAATTCGCCAGTAAAAAATAAATATAACACAGGTAATCCAGTCGTCGTTATCACTATGCTCCAAGATCCGAGATTGGAAGGGAAAACTTTCTTGTTTTACTACATGCCTCTAGAAGGGTAAGTGAAGCCTGCCAGCTCAACCCAGCCCAGTGTGTTGCCCCCACTTCCCTCATATAGATAATAGTCAGTGACCGCTGAGTCGCCATTTGCGATTGTCTCTGGGATAATTAGAAAAACCCTCTGGCTTACCACCACGAAGCGGTTAAGGCCGCGCCGACGAGGCTGAAACGTCGGTGTGCTTTCCCGAGGGCGGTTGGCCAGCAAATTCATGCAAGACGTAACTTCGAATACAACGTCCATTATCGAGTCGGTTTGTTCTTGCCCTGATACACACCCTCTTATAGAATCAGAGAACACTGGAATCCCACTACATTTCCGAGTAGTCGCCAATATTTGCGACCTCCCGCTCTCACGCAACCAGCCGAGAAAATCACGTGAATCAACATGCTAGAAAGAGTGGATAAGAAAGGCTCATGCTTCGATAGCCTTGCTCTTCTTCTTCTGCTCGACCTTGAGTAGCAAGGCACGGTTGATGTGAGGTAGCACACCACCAAAGGCAATGGTGGCACGAATAAGTGTGTCTAACTCTTCGTCACCTCGGATGGCGAGCTGGAGATGGCGCGGCGTGATGCGCTTGACCTTAAGATCCTTGGCCGCGTTCTGCACAGGTAAGTCAGTATGTATTATGTGCGTACGTAAGACATATAGCCTCGCATCTTGGATTCAGACAGAAATGGATAATGTAGTGGTCTGCTGCAATGGCTTGGATAGAGACATCGGAAGAGTGGGCAAAGCTCCGGGTGATGACGAATGAGAGACATGGGTCAGAGGGAGAAGGGGACGTGATG